GATGTGAGCTCTCAGCTACTACACCAACACCATGTCTGCCTCCATACTGCTATGTTCTGATGGTCATGGGCTCATGACCTCTGAAACTGTAAGCCTCCGATAAACTATTTTTTTCTATAAGTTGTCTTTGTCATGATGTCTTCACAATAGAAAAGTAACTAAGATGCCAAGGCAAATATTCTATAAAACAGGTATAGCAATCAAACATTTATTGATGATAAATCACAGAGGCATTTCTTTTCAAACAATTCCTTGGTATACATCTAATTTATTATCCCTTAAAGACAGAAGCAAATTTGCATACTAATGAGATGGATGTGCTTGTCTATGTTTACATAAGGAATTGCCTCATGGCCAAATATTTGGAGCACAGGATGGAGACTATCTCTGGTGTTTTTCAGAGATGAGTGAGGCTTGTGCGTGTTTGTGTGCAGTGTGTATGTGTGTTCACGCCTACATATGTATGGGTGCATGTGATTCACCTATCCACAAATGTATATGGAGGCCAGACATTAATGTCAGGCTTCTTCCTCAGCCACTTTCCATCTTACATATTGAAACAGGGTCTCCCACTTAAACCCTGAGCAGAACAATTCCACTAACATAGCTTGCTCCAGGGATCCCTTGTCTCTGCCTCCTAGCATTGGAGTTATAAGTCCACCATGAGACCCGTCTGGCTCTTAGGGAGCATTGAGGTTTCAAATTCAGGTCCTTACTTTTACACAAGCACTTTACCCACTGAGCCATCTCCCCAATGATCAATGTTTTTATTTTCTAAAATTCAGTACTAAGAACTCTCCTTATAAATATATAGTTCAAAAATGTCTAGGGTCATTTCAGAAATAGTTAGAAATTCTGCCCTAACTTCACTCTGGTATTCATTGAACAATTATTTATAAATCCCCAATCAATTCAAAAAGTAGTTTTAAAAATTAAACTGTTGCATGATTAATAAAATCTCAATGACAGATATTGGGGTTCAAACTGAAGACCAGAAAAGGAAAGCCGCCAGCCACTGGCTCTTACCTTGACCTTAGTCTGAAAATGGTGACCCTGCTTCCAGGAAACCTGAGAATGAGACTGTGCCTAAGAACTGTCTCCTCCCGTTTTATAATCCTTTCTAGTTCTGAGATTAAGGGCGTGCACAACTACCACCTGGTTTCTATGGCAAGCTAGTGTGGCTACTGGGATTAAAGGTGCGTGTCACTGCTGCCTGGTCTGTAAGGTTGCCCAGTATGGCTGTTTTACTTTTCTGATCCTCAGGCAAGTCTTATTTATTAAAATACAAGCGAAATGCCACTACATCAAACAATTCGGCCCAAATATGCATCACTTTGATACACACTGAGGGATGATTGTAAGAAAATCTTAAGTTTTGTTATAGTTCTAGAAGAGCAAAGAGTTTTGTATGTACAGAGAAAACACTGCAAGTCACAACATACTGGAATCTGAGTTGAGAATTTCAGGCACTGTTCTCTGGTGCTGTGTGGTGTGGAGGCATGTACAATGAATACACAGGTGTCTGCCCACCTTCCCACCATTACCCTAGTGGCCCATAGCCTCAAACATGCCCACATAGCAGCACACTCCCCACATCCTCCCTCAGCCCTTCTGTTCCCAGCCTTGATCTCTCTTGACAGATTGACTCTGACCTTGAGAGCATCATTGCCCACCCATACTAGGGCAGGCGACCTCCATTCTTTCTGCCTCCTTGAGAAGGCTCAGACCTCAGTTCCACAGTGACCCATCTTCTATCTTGCACAGTCTGCATCTGCATTCTGTATGGCTAACATTCATCGCTGCCCCTGCCCCTTAGGGCTCCATCTCCAGACTAGCGTTCATCACTGCCCCCGCCCCTCAGGGTTCCATCTCCTGACCCTCTGTCCCACCGTGAGCCTGGCTGAAGAACAGGATGTGGTCTTTCTGCTCTCCTTCCTAGACATGGAAGCGACATAGACAATGACTGTTTGTGTTATTGTAAGATTCCTCTGCCCTACTAGGACACTGACAGCCTAGATGGAGCCACACACTCCAGAGTCCTTCAGAGTTCTTATAGTCATTGTTCTCTGTGCAGCCCTGAGTACACTCTGAAGGTCTGGTTCTGAGAATGGTGTGTCCTGGCCACACCCTGTCTCTCAACCAAGTGTCTACCCCTATGGCCATGCACCAGGAGAGCCTACTGGTGATCAGACTCTCCAGGTCTGGTTTCTCGTCCTTGTGGGGTATAACAGCTTGCCATGACCTTAGCCTTGGGGAACGGTGGGAGGTATGAAACCACTCCCATATTCCACACAGCTCCTGAGCAAGACCACCTCATGCTACCAGACAAGCTCCTTCATGCTGCCCACACGTACCTCTCTATCCCCAGCCAGGCTGACTCCATGCTAAAGTGTCTCCCAGGCTTCAGCGAGGAAGAAAGGTTCTCAGTTTGCACTGCCCCTCCTAATAGCAGCCACGCTCAGAGTTCAACATGCTTCTAGAAGAGACCCATACGTGCTAATAGTCAGCAAACATGCAACCTCGGTCCCTCTCCTCAACACACAATGCCTCACAATCAGGGACTGTGACGACCACAGGCCATGCAGGGAGAAGAACCACAGCCCAGGCCTGAACTGGTACTGCCATGAACAGCAGAAACCTTATGGCTTACTTAAAATATCACCTGCCACTTTTGTGCTTCTCACTTACAGTCCACATCACCATAAAGCCATCGTGGCTCCCCAAGGGCATGGGAAGTGACTGTAGAATAGGAAGTTTGCTGTTAATCTCAGGGCTAAGTACTTAAGCAATGTGGAGCTTAAATATGACCTTGAGCCCATGGTATTGATTAGGGTGCATGCTAGTTTATTCAAAGAGACAGAGACGAACAGAGCCTGAGGAGGAGAGTGTAATCACCTCAGAGAGAAAGACGGGGGGGATGGGGTGCCCGGGATACAGCTGGCTGCTTGGTATGCTTGTAACTGCACACATGCCAGTTTATTATTATTTATGGTCCAGACATAGGCTTGGACATCATCTGACCACAGAAAGGAAGGGCACTAGCTAACCACCATCAGTAGAAGTGGGTGGATGAGGATGATTTGGGGACACCATCCCCCATAATACTGCCATACTCCTTGGCGTAACAGCTAGGCTCCATCCCAGCTTGTTTTCCAGCTCCATCTCTTTGTTCAGGAGTCCTTGGAGTCTCATGTACTAGAAGACACCTTCTGCCTACCTTGGCTTCCCTGGCTCCTCTGTCCACATGCGGGCTGGAGCCTCCTAAGTATCTGAAGGACCCATCCCTTTCCCTCTCTCCCATTTTTAAGTGGTTAGGGTTAAACTCAGAGCCTTGTGCATGCCAAGCTGGGGCTCTGCTACCATTTACTATATTCCATCTCTTTTTTTTCCCCTTAAGACTGTGTTGCCCAGGATAGCCTAAAACTTGGTATTTCTCCAGTCTTTGAAGTGGGATGACAGGCCTGGCTTGAATTTCCAGAGCTCTTGGCTTGGGCTTCAACAGGAGCCAATGTGCTGGATGGAATCTGTCTTCAGGTGGGATCTGGCAGACATACAGCCCTGGAGTTGAGTCCTGACATTCAGCCTGTGAAGCATGGCCTGGGTGGAAAAGGGACTCTAGATGTGGCTATGTCAAAGTCCTTGAGATGAGGTAATGATGGAGTCTTCTGATTCACCTCATCACCCCCCCAAAGGTTCTACCTCCTGATGCCTCATGTTGAAAATGGGACTTAAAGAACATACACACATATGGCGGGCTTCTCTAGATAGTTTTGATGTAAATGAAATGTCCTAGGACGCGAGAGGGTGGCAGGAGGAAAGTCAGAGCCACAATAGTCAGCGGGAGGAGAGGAGGAGGCCTTGACCAAGGGAAGCAGGTGGTCTCAGGAGTCAGGAAGGGCAGAAACAGATCCTAGCAGAGGGGATGCATCCCCTTTCACACTCCAGACCTCTGGGACGATAAACTCATATTGCTATGAGTTAATGTGCTCCAGCTCACTTATCACAGCAGCCACAGGGGATTCACACCTGGAGTGTGCGAGCTCCTGACACCTGGCTACCTCTGTGTCTCTAACTGAGCAACGGGCATGGAAGGAAAGGAGTGTGAGAGAGACAGGGAAGAGGAAGTGGAGCGGGGATAGAGAAAGGGAAGAGGAGGAGAGGTGGGAGTGGAGAGAAGGAATAGAGGGAGTGGGGGGGGGAGGGTTAGGGAGGGGGAAGAGGAGAAAGAGGGCAGAGGACCTGGAGGTGTTGAGGGAGGAAGGTGCTATGGGGTAAGGAAGGGCAGGGGTCAGCCAAGGCAAACCCCACTGGGAGAGCGGTGGCTCTACAGAGATGATCTGCTCTCTTTCCATCTGGGCTCCTCTGGGAGCCTGAGATTAGGACAGACAATTCAGCCTTTCCTTGGGGGCCTGGGGACCAACAGAAAGCACCAGTGTGTCTATAGCATGGGCTGCAACCCCAAGCCTTTCTCCATACTTCCTTGCTGCTCCAGCCCTACCCCAACAGAAACTCAGCCCTGGCCAGAATTTGGAGAGTATGGAGTCCATGACCCCTCTAAAGCTGGGGGAGGCTGCTGCTGGTATCTATATCGGTCTGGCTCCTCTTCTCCTCTAATACGGGAACCCTTACATTGATCAGGGTCTGTCCTGCACCCAGTGACCTCATCTTTTAACTTTTTGCATCTGCAGTAACTTTTATTCCAAACAATTCTGAGGGTCCAGAGAGGACATAGGTTAGAGGACACACAACCTACCCAGCACCCCACCTACCACCACCAGTCCCTATCTTCATCCCTGTTACACTGACCACCTCCATTTTCCAAACCTGTTGTGAGCCTTTGTCAGCCACACTGGCCTACAGAAGCCTGAGTCATCCAGGCCTTGCCCTCCTGGGTGACGTGCTGTCCAGCAGTCCAGCACCTGGTCATCAAGCCATTCTGGACTTTGCCCATATCTCCAGCATCTCCCCACGATGCACTCATCCTCAGCTTCTACCCCCACCTGGCTGGGCCATTCACCAGTTGCCTACTCAGGACCAGAGATGTCTGTTAGCTTCCTGGTTTTCCAAGGGCTGCTGCACAGGTCCAGCTGCCAGAGGGCAGAGAAAAACAACCTCACCCAACTGTGCTAAAGTCCCATGTCACCAAACTGAAACTAAGCTGTTATCCAACTTCCAAGAAATCAGGAGGCCACAGCCAAGTTCCCCAAACAGACCCTTCCACAAGTCCCCTGCCTTAAGCCTTATACCAGCTAATCCTTGCAGAAAGCCGGAAGGAAGCAGTGAGGTGTTAAGCAACCCCATGTCATTTTTGCTGGTTTCAGCCTGGCTGTCTATAAAGCCGGCCTCCTCGGCCCCAGCTGTGCTATCCCAGCATTTCTACTCTACGGGATCACGTGGTGCCAGGTCCAGAATCAAAGGCAGAGGCCAGTAAGACCAAGCAAGTGCACAAAGATCCCTGCATGCTTGGGGCTTGTATCTAGTTCCATGTGGGTTCCTCTCCTCTCTGAACACCTGTCCTCCCAGTTTGGGGGCCTCTTCTGAACTGCCTTCTGCTTCTCCCTCCACCTTCCAGAACTTGGGGGCATGACCCCATCAATCACCAGGCCCCAATCCTGCCTCCCTGGTCCCATTTTTCTGCCTTTTCTCTGCCAGCAAAAACCCCAGAAGCCCTTATGCTGATGTAGAGTCACACACAGAGTCATCACACCTTGCAAGTCAGTGGCATTGCTATCACAGATCTCCCCAGGTCCTCAACCCTAAGAGAGCAGCTCCCCACACCCACCTTCCCAACCCCAACCCCAGTCTGCCCTTCCCCACCATCGCCCTTCCTCCCTGTGTAGTGTATGAATACTGTCCATCACTCCAGGTAGGACAGTCGCTGGAGACCAAAGGTGCTATTCCACTGAGTCTAGGTTAGAGAACCGGTGAGTCCATGGGGTTAATTATAGGTGTGTGGGCGACACAAAGCCATCACCAAAGGACTCACTGTAGGCTGAAAAGATGGCTCCGTAAGTAAAAGTGCTTGCCTGACCCCAAGACTGAAAATTTGAGTCCAGTCCATGGGACCCACATTATAGAAGTAGTGAACCCACTCCCAAAAGTTGTCCCGACTTCCACACGTACACTGTGGAATGCATGTGCGCGCGCACACACACACACAAACAGCCTTTTGTTGTTATTGCTGTCTTTTACAGCCTACTCCAGCACAATTGCGCTCTCACAGAATCTGCATGTTTGCAGCCCTCTGGAGCTCCCCACCTGCAAGCTTTGCAGGCATCCCTGTCTCCTCTCCCCAGCGACTGTTTATAGCTCAGATAACCTCCATGAGGGCTCTCATGAATTCCTAAGCCTCTTGAGCTTTCTGATCCTGTCCTCCACCAACACACACAAGGCAGAGTTTCCCATCTGAGGGCATAGCTACACAAGAGACCCTTTCCCTTTAAAAACCATTTACTCCCTTGAGGGAAGACTTGCCCCCATCCATTGTCTGTCCCCAGTGGACTCAGTGACTAGAGTCAACCAGCTTATGTCCCACAGCTACTGGACTTGCTCTCTCTTCCATCCAGCTCCATTTCCTACCCCCACCTCTTCACAACCAAACCCTTCGAGAGAGGTACATACTTGTGAGATCACTGTTACCTTCCCTTACAGCTCCCCTGGGATCCTCACCCAGGCTGGCCCCTTGTGATGTTCTGATGAGACTGCAGAGTGGTGTGGCTGCCTTGGAAAACAGTTTCCTGTAAGACCCTGTAATTTCACCAAGAGAACTGAAAGTACACACACAGAGCTAAGCACGTGTCTCACGTGTCTTTACTGCAGTATCATTCATAACCGCCAAAATAGCCAACCAGGGAAAGGTCAAAGTAAAGTGAAGCTGCACATTGGAATATTAGCCAGCCATAAAGAGACAGCGCAGTACTGTGCTACAATACAGATCAATCTTGAAAACATTATGCTGAAAGAGAACCACCAAAGACCACACAGTGAATATCATGTTCACAAGAGTGATTGGAACAGGAAGCCCATAGAAGCAGACAGCAGCTTTGTGGTGGTCTGACGCTAGGGAAGGCCGAAGAGGTAGCAGTGACCCTGCGGCAGCCTATGCACCTTCTGAGTACAGGAAAACAGTGAGGCCTGTAGTGAGGAAGCTGTGCATTATGTCTGTGAAGTTTCAACCACGGTACCAAAGTCACGCTTTGAAGAAGCTCACGGTCACTTGGTCACAGGATCTGCTGTGTGTGAATGACTCCAGTAGGACTCAGAAGGTGGTACAGGGGCTGGCAAAATGGCTCAGGGGGTAAAGGCCTGCACTCTAACTTCTGGGACCCACACAAAAGGAGAAAAGCAACGCCCACAGGTTGTCCTCTGACCTCCAGCCACACCCCCCCACACACACACACAATAAATGTTTAGAAATGAAAAAGGGGGCTGGAGAGAGGACTTGGTGGTTAGGAACACTTGCTGTTCTCCTGGAGGATTCAGGTTTGGTTCCCAGCATCCACCTGGTGGCTCACAACCATCTATAATCCTAGTTCCAGGGAATTCTGAACTCTCTTCAGGTCTCTGTGAGCACCTGCATGCATGTGGAACACATACATACATACATTCACATGCACACATTAAAAACAATAAACTTTGAAAATAAAAACTGAAAAAGCCACATATACTTCTGCATAGGAAAAAATATGTGGAAATACATGGTCTGAAATCTTTTTTGTTTGTTTGAGACAGGGTTTCTTTGTGTAACAGTCCTGGCTGTCTTGGAACTAGTTCTTGTAGACCAGGCTGGCCTCGAACTCACAGAGTTCCGCCTACCTCTGCCTCCCAAGTGCTAGGATTAAAGGCGTGCGCCACCACCCTCCCCCCCAGGCCTAGTATGAAATCGTAACAGCAGTTTTTGCTCGGTGGTGGGTGGTGGGCTGAAAGTTGATGTGCGTGAAGAGCACAGGTGGATTCGGAAGTCATCCTCAATTGTTCTCCACCTTTTTATAGACACGGTTTCTCTCTGAACTCAGAGCTCACTTTTTGGCTACACCACCGAGACACCAAGGTCCAAGGGTCCTCTATGTCTCTAGCAGTGAGATTACCCACATGTGCTCCTGCACGTGTGGCCCTTTATGTGGGTTCTGCGGGGGTCATAGTCTGGTTCATATTCTTGTTTTCATTTTTTTTTTTATTTTTTGGTTTTTCGAGACAGGGTTTCTCTGTGGCTTTGGAGCCTGTCCTGGAACTAGCTCTGTAGACCAGGCTGGTCTCGAACTCACAGAGATCCGCCTGCCTCTGCCTCCCTCCCGAGTGCTGGGATTAAAGGCGTGTGCCACCACCGCCCGGCTGGTTCATATTCTTGTAAAGCAAGCGCTTTACTGACTGGGTTGTTACCTCAGCTCCAGACATGATTATATTTTCTGAATAGCCAACATGGAACATGGGGTAAGCTTGCAATAAAGTAGCCGATATATCTCCTTATCTACTCCATTTTAAGAATACAAGCCAGAGTGATTATTGCTATTATCCCAGAAAGAATGCAGAGATACAAAGGGAGTGGCTGGCTCACCTTGCCTGCATGGTCTCCAGGCGAGTCCCCAGTAGCTGGGAGCTCAGCAATCAGTACGTCTGTAATGATTAACATGAAGTACATGTTAATATGGTAACATGGTACAGTGGCGCACCCAGGAGCTCTGTTTCAAAAGCATCTCCCTAGCAACCCCACTCATCCTCAGGGCAGAGAGGGGGCCCCTGATCATCCATTTCCAGTATGCACAGAGACACTAGCAGGCCTTAGAATAACTGGCTATCACTTTTGGTACTCAGGCTGCATCTCCAAAGCCTTAGTCCAAACTCTCCTCTACCATCACCCTATCTATGGAAGCGTCATTCACTGACTGTGAGGGCAAATTGCTCACAAGCCCATAGAGCCTGTGGCAGTCTCCATGGGACCCCAGGAACCAGAGCACAGGGTGGGTATCCTTCATGGTCCACAGGGCACCTTGGTCTGTGTGCCACTACAGCCATCATGGTTTAGGACCACAGCTTGTTTTGTCCCAGTACAGATGAGATGCCAAGCAGCAGGTTAGGCGGGGTGAGTACTGACTTGGGTAAGCAGAGGAGGCAACCAAGCTAATAGCTGGTAACAGAGCAACTGTTTGAAGACAACTGTTCGAAGTCTTCACTCCAGAGGCAAGCAACCCAGAAATGCACAAAATACTAGAAGCTCCAGGCTTGCCCATAGGGACTATAACAACAGAAAGAATCCTTGGAGGGAGGCGGGGGAAGAACCCTTGGAGAAATCTATAAGGACAAGCAAAATGGACTGGAATACAACTCAGGACCCACAAGACAGATGCATGGTACTGGGGTGTGGGTGAAGGGTCTGAGCTGCAGCCTGTCCCATCATGCCAGCTTCCTGCAAGTTACTGACGTGACTGTTCCTTGGGCCAAGTTTCCTGTGAGTGATGTGTCTGTTCCTTAGGGGCAAAGCTGTATGTATTTACACAGGTGCAGCTTTCTCAACATCTAAGGAATACAGCCGATAATGGCTGGTAGAGGCTCACCTGCCACATCCCACGGTAGAGACTCACAGTCACTAACAACTTCTATCCACTGAAGCTAGGCAGCCCCTCCTGCTTTTTGCTGTTGAGAGGGCTCCCGAACTGATGACCCCCACCCCCCACTGTGTGTGTGCACACGCGCGTGCCCGTGCAACCTTCACAAGCTTGCACTGGCCAGAGGGCAAAAAAGCCAAGACCCAAATTGCAACATTCCTTAGTCAAAACTCCTTCGAGTTCTTCTGAACAAGGCATAGAACGGCCAATATGGCTTAGAGGGGAATGGACGTGTTGTGAGCGAGGAAGGCGGCCAAGCCACCCACACCGGTGCTGCGTCACGCTGGGAAACTGACCTCCCGCAGGAACTTTGAGAAACAGCCTGCTAGGGAGGTTGGCTTTGTTTTACTCTCTGGCCACCACACGTCCTACCTAAGGTCACACGGTGCCCTTTCAGGCCTGGTCACAAGCCCTGTGGCTTTAGCCGGTGTGGTCTTGGCTGGGGGGGCGCTCCGGACTGGGTTGTGAACCTACAGACCACCTGTCACCTGGCCAACGAAGTGCTCGGCCCTAAGGATCCCGGGTCTTGAGAGCACTAAGAGGGGTTTGCGCACGGAACCTGGGGAAGGCGAGGACCCGCAGTGTCCGCATTCTTTCAGCAAACGAGGTCGGGCAGCGCACTGCAGGGAAGGGCAGGGCAGGGCCGGACCCTAAGACCGGCGTCCTGTCCGCCCTGCTGCCGGCCCGTGCTGCGCGCACTCGCTCGAAGCGCGCGTGCCGGGCACCAGCCCCACCCCCCGGTGGCGTGTGCGTACGTCATATGGGCCGCCCTCCTCCTATTGGCTCCCGCCGCCTCACCAGACCCCGAGCGGACAGGCGCGCGGCCAGGGCGGAGCCTCTGAAAGACACGCCCCCCAGCGGGGCGCGCGGGCGGTCGATAGGCTGAGTGTGGTCACGTGACGCCACCGGCGGCCCGCCTTATAAACGGAACCCGCGCGGGGCCGCGGCCGCTCCTGGGCCGTCCGGGCGCGCTACGCGTGGTGTCGTGGCGAGCTCCTCCCACGGTGCGCCTGGCCGCCGATGCCCAGGCTGCACGACCACGTCTGGAGCTGCCCAAGCGCCGGCGCTGCGAGGCCGTACAGCCTCCCGCGAGGCATGATTGCGGCAGCTCGCTGTCCACAGGGCCCCGGAGCCACAGAGCCCTCGCCCCGGGTCCAGCGAGCGGGAACGGCAGGATGCAGCGCGCGGCCCGGCAGCTGGCACCACGATCTGGTGCAGCGGAGCCTCGTCCTTTTCTCGTTCGGTGTGGTCCTGGCCCTGGTGCTCAACCTGCTGCAGATCCAGCGGAATGTCACGCTCTTCCCCGACGAGGTGATCGCCACCATCTTCTCCTCTGCCTGGTGGGTGCCCCCGTGCTGTGGCACGGCTGCCGGTGAGTGCCCTTCCTTGTTCTTGGAGTCGGGGGGTGGGGGGACGACGACACGTCAGCTGTTGTCACCCTGAGTACAAGAAAAGGGAGACGAGATGGTTGGGAGCCCCAGTCGCGGGCGAGAGACAGGCGGAAGTTGGAGGGACTAGTGATGGAGATGAGGTCAGGAGATAATTGGCAGTTTAAGTGGAGGAGTCGCAGCTGTCTCGCGGAGTCAGAAGCCAGGATTGGCCGCCTGGAGAACTGGTGAGGGCAGCACCACGCAGCCATTGGCTGCCTGAGCAAACGTGCTACCCCGCTGAATAACTGAAAACAAACCATCACGTGCGCTCAAGAGGCTGTTGCCAGGGGACAGACTTCTCCTTACTTCCTTCTGCTGATAGTGAGTGCCCTGTGGCTGGCGGCCAAGCCCTCTGGAACTCCAGTAGACTTGGGACAGTAATAAAGGAGGAACCTTTGGGCCTAAGACCACCTATGGTGTCACCTCTCAGGCCCAACGAAACTTGTTCCGTGAGACAGTCTCTTTCTTTCTTTCTTTCTTTCTTTCTTTCTTTCTTTCTTTCTTTCTTTCTTTCTTTCTTCCTTCCTTCCTTCCTTCCTTCCTTTCCTTTCTTTCCTTTCTTTCTTTTTTATTTTGCTGGTTTTACAAAAACAAAAAAAGTTGACTGGTCACAGCCCAACAGATCCCTGCATATCCCTCAATGCACAGCATTTATTCCAAAGACATCTGTCAGGTGTTTGTCCCACCTTGCTTGTTTTTGGCCTTTTGGCCTGTGTGAGTGGGCAGTATAAACTCTGGTACACCTTTCCTCCGGACTGGAGAGACACACCTGCGCCTGTGACCGCAGGACAGCAGGAGCAGCTCCTGTCTGCTTTGAAGCCAGCTTTTATGGACTGCCTGCCTAAGCTTTATGTGCTGGGCTTCGCTGCTGGGCTGTGGCTGAGTCATGGGTTGGATGTAATGTGCAGGGTACTTGATTCCCAAGGTTGCTCTGAGGCTCACCTGCAGCATTATGGGGTCAGCCTTGTGACAGCTGCGTGCCCCTGCCAGGAAGGTTGATGTAGCCTTTGGGACAAAATTGGCATCTTTGTTTTCAATGCACTCTAGGTTTATGGCTGTAATGGTTGAACGTCTTGTTTATTTGGGACTGGGGTGGCAAAAATCATTTGCCACTGAACTGTTACCCCAGCACTTAAAAGTTCTTTGGGGCATAAGATGTAGATTTGAAATTCTTTTCTAAGTGCGTATGGAACATAAAGTTTGTAATGAAAGTTTTGAGGAATACTTGAGATGGTTTCTCCCCTCCTCTGAATACGTGGCTGAACCTGCATCTTTCTCACTGCTGTCAAGGCCGAATGACTGCAGCCTGAGATCTTGAACTTAGCTGCAACTCACACGTACCTTGTGTCCCCTGGGGGCTCTCCTACTTGTACTGCAGACACCCCTTTCCTGTTTTTTACTCTCTTGGTCTCTTCTGGAATATCCAATTTGCCGCTGTCCAAGTGTTCAGGAGTCTGAGTCTGTGTTTGTGACAATTACTAACTCAGAACCACAAAACTTCTTCCTACTCTGCCCTCCACTTCACTTACATAACGCTCATTTCACACATGAGGAAACAAACATGAGGAGGCCCAGCCATCCTAGGGCAGCCTGGGACTGGCAGCAGAGCTCTCCCTTTCTAGGGCCCTGCCCTCCCCACGGTATGCCACTTGTCCCACTGGGGCCAGGCCTAGGCAAGAGGAAGCAGTGTGAAGTGGCCGTACCACAGCCTTTTCTTATAGGGTATTTTCAAAATAGCAAGAACTTTGTGGTGCAGGTGACAAATGGCCTAGGAAAAGAAGTGGTTTGGATCCTGTTAATAATGACCACACAAGTGCTAATTTTAGCCAGTGTATTCTAATCCTGTTTTTGTTTTTCTTCACATAGCTGTTGTCGGCCTACTGTACCCCTGTATTGACAGTCACCTTGGAGAACCTCACAAGTTCAAGCGAGAGTGGGCCAGCGTCATGCGCTGTATAGCGGTGTTCGTTGGCATCAACCACGCCAGTGCCGTATCCTCAGTTACTGTGATGGATGTTGATGTTCATTCCCTCATCCCTGTACTTTAGAGGAATTCTGGACTTCAGTTTCTAGGGCCTTTTACTCATCTTAGGACACTGGGGCTAACACCAGAAGTGGATGTACTCTGCCCCTCAGTCACTGTGGTTCTAGTGGACTTGATCCATCCTCCCTCTTAGCTTTTGCCCCACTGACATGCTTGTTCCTGCAATAGAGAATTTGTTCCTGTTCTCTGTTACAGAAGTCCAGGGCTGCTCAGGTAGCCCCTGGGCTTCTAGTGCTCAAAGCTGACACATTCCCTTCATGCAGTGTGCTGTGTTTTTGTGCATTATACATTTTCTGTGAAAATGATTGATTTGATGGTAAATGCTTCAAATACTATGTTTTTAGAGTAACTTGGAGTAAAAGATACTACGTTGTGCACCAACGTCAGGGGCTCTTTCCTTACTCAGATGATTTCCTAACTCTCATAGTGCTAATTGGCAGGCACTGAATAAAGTGACTGACTTGCCCCTGCCCTTCAACCTGGGCTGGTCCAGAGACAACATGGGGTAGTGCCTGCTTGTCTCCACTCACTGAAAAGAAGGGGTGAGGAGATAGAGATAATATCTTAGCAGAGCTTCATTCCTTGTGGCTCTCAGAAGTTACTATGACAAGCCAGTGCTCTGGATGCGGTACTCCCTGGGGATGGGTGTCTTAGGTTTGTTTATGTCATCCTGGAGGTGGGGGTTCAGCTTTGTTTATATGCCATCATTACCAGCACATTACTGTACAATGTGGCCTATAAGTTATTCTGGGGTTTAGTATTTTCTTATGATAAATTAGGAAACTTTTCCTTAACTTTTGGATCTCTAGAAATTGGATTTTGCCAATAATGTCCAGCTGTCTTTGACATTAGCAGCCCTGTCTTTGGGCCTGTGGTGGACATTTGACCGCTCCCGAAGTGGCCTTGGGCTCGGGATCACCATCGCCTTCCTAGCTACGCTGATCACTCAGCTTCTTGTGTATAATGGTGTCTACCAGTAAGTGTGTTAAAATGTTGCTTTACTTTGGTAACAACACCTATCTGTTAAGTATAGACGTTTTGTATGTTATTTAGCTTTTTTTGCAAAATAACTTGAAAATCTCAAAATGGTTTTTCTTGGCAAATGTTAAAAACTCACTATCCAAGCCAGGTGGTGGTGACACATGCCTTTAATCCCATCACTTGGTAATCCTAGCAGAGGCAGGTGGATCTCTGTGAGTTTGAGGCTTTCCTGGTCTACAAAGTGAGTTCCAGGACAGCCAAAACAATTACACAGAGAAACCCTGTCTCAGAAAAACAAAAAACTCATTATTCATAACTTGGTGAGAAGAAAGTCTGGTGGCCATAAAACATGTCTTTCAGACACTGGCATTTGATGCTAACTGTAGCTCACAAATGTCTCCTACACCCATATCACGGGAGTCCTGGACCCCAGGCTGCCTGGGTAGCTAAGACTGTTTTGTTTTCTCCCCAGGTACACATCCCCAGATTTCCTCTATATTCGCTCCTGGCTCCCGTGTATATTTTTCTCAGGTGGCGTCACAGTGGGAAACATAGGACGGCAGTTAGCTATGGTGAGTACAGTGCTCAGTGTTCTCTGGACACTTGAGGCTTGTTAGTGAGGCAGGTATATTTGGTGTTGATATTTGTCTCATTCAGATTCCTTAGCAACAGTTGATGAGGATAGTCTATGGTAAATAGAAAATGATACCTAGCTGGGTCTTCCCTAAGTTAGGATGTCCAGATTTTTTGTACTTGTTCATGCTGGAAAGCAACCAGAGCTTCAGGGTGGCCCTGTGCCCTGCAGCTGCAGCCTGTGGTTCTCTGAGTGCATACACCCCTAGGCAGCACTGTCAGCTGCGCTCTAGCATCTCTTGGCAAAGTCAGTGGCTGCAGGCGATGCTGGAGCTCCTTGTCTGTAGACAAACCAGCATGCACTCCCTACCAAAAGGTACCTGAGCTCAGGCACTGGGAAAGAATGGTCCAGAGAGCTCTAGAGTATGGCTTGACCACTGTGTAAAGGGGCCGTCTTGTTGGGGTACTAACTCTCTTCTCCCTGGGAGAGAAAACAGTGTCACCTCCTTACATCCAGGGTCACTTCTGAGGCAACTGAGTGCACAGTCTTGTAGCAGATCTCTTCACCAGGCAACAATTGCCACTTGAACACTTTAGTTTTAAAGATAATGTGAACATTTTATCAAGAGGACTTTGACACATGGGCTTACGTGTAGTGAACTTTACAGGAGGGTGACTAGAGAGAGCCATCGCACACAGGGTTGAGCTCCAGGGCTTTCTCTGAGTGCTTATCTCAGTGTTTTGTGCTATTTTTAAACCGCCACCTGACACCCACTCAGGAGAAGCTGAAGTT